CCTTTAAAATCTAACTTAATGTGATGGAGCACAAGTGCCTTTCGACTGCAGCTAGCGAAAATAAGTAGATATGGAATAATCGATTAGGCCATCTCAACTTCAGAGACATCATAGATTTGAAGAGAAGAAATATGGTTTCAGGATTTCCAGAAATTGACATTCCAAACAAAGTGTGTGAGGAATGTGTATATGCGAAGCAACACAAGAATAACTTCAGCAAAGATGTAGAAAGTAGATCTTGAAGTCATATACTTTTATGTATGTGGACCAATCCAGGTGGATTTGATGGGAGGTAACAAATACTTTGTTACATTCATAGATGATTTCAGTCAAAAATTATGGACTTACCTGATCAAGAAGAAAATGAAGTGATCGAGGATTTGCCAAGTTTAAGTCTATGGTCGAAAGACAAAATAGTCAAAAGCTCAAAGTTTTAAGAACTGGTGGTGGTGGAGAGTATGTGTCGAAAGACTTTAAAAAGTTATGTGAAAAAGAAGGGATTGTGCATGAGGTGGTGCCACCCTACACTCCACAACAGAATGGAACTGCATAAAGGAAGAATTGAACCATCATGAATATGGTGAGAAGTATGTTAAAAGAAAAGCATTTACCTAAAGAGATTTAGGGTGAAGTTGTGTCGACTGCAACATATATTTTGAATAGATGTCCTACGAAGAAGCTAGAAGGAATTATTGTAAAAGAATGTTGGTTTGATGTGAAGCCTAACTTGAGTCATCTAAAGTTACTTGGATCTATTGCACATATACATGTTCCAGATCAGTTGAGAAGAAAACATGATAATAAGTCGAGTCAAATGATCCTAGTTGGATATCATTCGATAGGAGGTTACAAGTTGTTTGACCCAGTGAATAAGCAGATTGTGATCAGCAGAGACGTGATCATAGATGAACTTAAGAAATGGGATTGGACTGAAAATGTCAAGAAATATTCAGTGAGAATATTTCTTGAAGAACCAGAAACTCAAGTCGAAAGAGAAGTTCGACAAGAGGAACCAACAGTTATAGATCAACCAAGTACAAGTAGACCTCAACGAACAAAATACACGCCTGCAAGGTTCCGAGAATGTGTGATTACATCAGATGATGTGGTTGATAACGAAGGTGAGCTGATACATTATGTTTTCTATGCAGATGTCGAACATATCAATGCAGCTGAAGCATTGAAGGATTCTAAGTGGGTGAAAGCGATGAACGAAGAAGTGAACTCCATCGAAGACAATAACACTCACTTGTCTAATTTACTCAAGGCAAGAAGGCAATTGATGTTAAGTGCGTATACACTGTGAATATGAATCCTAAAGGGGAAATAACTCGACACAAAGCAAGACTCGTGGCGAAAGGATTTCTCCAAAAAGAAGGAATTGACTTCGATGAAGTTTTTTCACTTGTGGATAGGATCGAAACAATTAGGTTAGTTATTGATCGAAACAATTAGGTTGGTTGTTGATCTTAAAAAATAAACAGTTGTCACATATGTCAGACGGACGTGAAATGTGCATTCTTAAATGGACCCTTAGACGAAGAGGTTTATGTTAAACAACCAGTTGGGTTTGTGAAATATAACAAAGAGAGAAAGGTGTATAGGCTCCATAAATCCCTGTATGGATTGAAACAAGCTCCAAGAGCTTGGAATAAGAAGGTTGATAGTTTCCTAAGAGAGAAGAAATTTATGAAGTGCATAACTGAACATTGAGTATATGTAAGAAGAAGCAATAGTAAATTGCTTATGCTATATCTCTATGTTGATGATTTGTTAATAACATGTAGTTGCAAGAAGGAGATCGAAGACTTCAAAGGTGGTCTCAACAAAGAATTCGAAATTTCTTATCTGGGTGACATTTCATATTTCCTTGACATCGAATTCTACAAGAGCGATAGAGATTTAATGATGCATCAAAAAGATATGTAGGAGAAATTCTCAAGAGATTTAAGATGAAAGAATACAACTCGAATTCGACACCTGCAGAAACAAGATTGCAATTGTCGAAAGATTAAGAAGAAGATGATGACGACCTAACCCAGAAAATTTATTGAGTTATTAAGATATCTTTATCATACAAGGCCTGACTTAACATATAATGTAGGTATGGTAAGTAAATTCATGCAGAAGTCAAAAGCATCACATCTAGCCGTGGTGAAGAGGATATTAAGGTATCTCAAAAGAACTCTCGACTATGATATTTTGTTTCATGCAGTTGATAAGGGAAAAGAATGCAAGTTAGTGAGATACACTTATTCGAGTTGGTGTAGTGATACTGAGGATAAAAAATCCACAGCAGGATACGTGTTTATGCTAGATGGTGCACCAGTTGCTTGGAGTTCGAGGAAGGAACTAGTTATGGTATTATCATCATGCGGGGCAGAATACATAGCTGCCTATCTTTGTACATGTCAAGCAACTTGAATGGTAAACTTGATCGAAGAGATAACATGGAAAGATCATGGAGCAATTACCATGAAAATCAACAACATGTCAGCTATCAACCTGGCGAAGAATCTGACAGCTCATGGTCAAAGCAAGCACATTGAAATAAGGTTCTACTATCTTCGAGAGCAGGTAGCAGATGGAAAGATGAACTTGGAATCCTGCAGAATTGAGAATCAGATCGCAGACATCATGATGAAGAGTGTGCAGGTCAAAATATTTCAAAGACTAAGAGATATGATAAATGTAGATAGCTTAGACACAATTAATTATGTGGTGTATTGAAAGTAATTCCTTGTGTCAAAGCACTTTACTCGACAGAGACAAGGGAATGTCAAAAAGATTTGATTAGGTATGGAAACACTTTATTACACACAAATTTAATTTTAGATTTAGATAGATTTGATTTAAATCTAAAATAGAATAGATTTGATTTAGTTTCAAAATAGGTATTTTGGGCTTTTATAATTTTGAACTTGGCTTAGGGAGCAAGCTAACCTAAATCTATAAATAGAGGGAGTAACCCCTATTTTTGTAATCAAGTCAACTCATTGTATTCTTAGAATTTGCAGTTGCAAGTGAATAATAAAGTTTTTCAGTGTGTGGGCATAGAGAAACTCTGTAGAAAATTAATTATCTTGTTTCTTTTCTTTTCTTTTCTCTTAATTCATTGTCATTGTGTGGTAATATCAATCTTGTTTATCAAAGATTGGTAGAAATTCATCATAGATATTTAGTAGATTTTCAACACTATTCTTAGTTGACACGTCTACGTTTGTGGACGAAAGTGAACCCTATGTCGATGTGGCATACCTTAAGTACTTCATTGACTTGTCGGCCATTCACGAGTAAAACTGGGAGGCGCCTGTTTGGTATAATTGTACTCTAAGCTAAGAAAAGGTTCTCTTTGAACAACAAAGAAAATGACAGACTCCTACACCCTACTGACGATAATTTCCATAGCCCCTATTAATTCTAAAACCACTTTTTTTACACTTGTTACTAATTTTTTTCTTATTCACTTACATGAATAGATCTTATCCCTTTCAACGCATACAAGAGTTTGATCGTGTGCTAGAGTATATTGAGGATTGGTCACGTGCTTGCATGTATTGCTTGCGCAAAGGAAATGATGTTATGCATCCGTTTTATGAGTAAATTTACTGTAACTCAACATGATTACATCGACTGGACACCATACACCACTCACTAGGACATTGTTGTCTTAAACCCCATTTCATTTTATTTCGGATGGTTGGCATGTGGGAGGAATATGATGTGCTTGTATTCTCCGAAGTGATGCATGTGTCTGTTTAGATATGTGCAGATCATTCTGAGGTCCCTCTTCTAGTCTGCTTCTAACTGCATCGTCCGTAAACATCTTGATGACATACTGGGGGATTACAAGAGTTATATGATACCAAAGTAGTATCGGAGTATGTCAGCCACAAGTCAGTGGTCTTATGTGGATGGTTACATGACTTGATTCTTTAGTGTGTCACACCCTGTCATGACATCAAACGCTCTTAGACGTCTACTTAGACCAGCTCATGAGGAGATACTAGAGACTGAGCAGACCAGGGATGACCATGTCATTAATGTGTTATCGATCTATCAAAATATTATACGTATTACATATGAAGGCATAGAGTCTAGGCTGTTTGAGAGAGGTGGTGATGATGTGTTGTCCTAGCACGCTCCATTCTTACCGAGGCACAAAATGTTTTGGGTTATCGGCGGCAGGGGAGGAGTCAAGGTGTTATAGGATTAGATATACACAAAAGGTTATGTATTTTTTGTACTTTTGGAATGTTTTGGTATTATTTTCCATATTTTGAGAACAATGTTTGTAATATTATGCGATATTTTTTTAATTATTACATTACATTGTTTGATGATGTTCGTGTTTATTAATATTTGAATCAAAATATGGCATTGTTAGTTAGATTAAAATGACTTTGGATTTAAAAAATACAAACTTAGAACAATGTTTCTGCCCAAGATGCGTGCAAGTAAGTTTTCGGAGATGCATATCCGAAATAGACATTTTCAGAGATGTATCTCCGAATTTATCCCACAAATTTTCGCAGAAGCATCTCCAGACTAACTTTTTACGAAAATAGAGTGGTTAGCTTGATTTACGATAGATGGAGAGATTTAAAATACGTCCGAAAATGCATCTCTAAAAATGTATGATGAAAATTTTGAATTTTCAAAAGTGTGAGTCACACTATAAGAGTGAGAAAAAAAATCCCATTCAATTATTACCCTCTATTTAAAAAAACATTTAAAACTACATTTTCCCATAACTATGAAAACATTTGAAGAAAGAAAAGATGATTACAATCCTCTCATCTATTCATTCAAATATAACATGTACACTAGTCCAAAACAAAAAGCACATTTGCAGAACCCAAGGTATGCCACGGTTAAAAGGTGAAGCCAAACTGTTCATAGGCCGAGTCTTCCCAATGAAAAACAGGTTATACTTATACATATCATATGCTTTCTCCCTCCATACCTCTCTGTCACTAGGAGACAAGTATAATGGCCTGTCAATATGTTCTGTTCAAATTGTTCATATCAAAGTTGTACCGGTTCAAGTGGGCATGAAAACTATCACTAGGTACATTCGCTCTAGATGTGAATTCACTAACACCAGGCCTGAAAGGTGGGAATCCTCTCATATTTGGAACCAGGCCTCTTCCGTGATATGTGAATTCACTAGCACCAGGCCTGAAAGGGGGGAATCCTCTCATATTTGGAACTGGACCTCTTTCATGATAAGCTAATTCGTTTGATCCATTTTGGCTTCGAGAATTTACTTGATATTGATATGGAATTTGTCGACTACTAGCCTGTAATGGATAGGCTGGGGCTTCGTAGCGGTCAAATTTAGCAGAGTTGTGTACTCTTCCCCTTGCAGGTCTGAAGGCTCTTGAGGATGCACTCTCATTCCATGTTGCCTGTGTTGATGACGTGGCCTCTTGACTTTGATACTCGTTTGCTCTTTTGGAGCCATCAAAGTGCTTAACCTTGTTTAGATCACGTGATCTTCCTTTTTTAGATCGTTTGGTATTATGGGCTTCATGCTTCCGCTTAGAACCTAATAAAATAATGTCGAGAAGTTACTAACAGTGTAAAAATCTGTAACACAGTGCAACACAAACTCATACTACCCTTAGATCCATTTGCATAACAGCTTTTCTTTTTCTGCTTCAATGCTCTTACAAACCTTGCTTCTGCACCGCGTCTGTGCTTCTCAGATAGCACTTTGACCCTATCAGCTTCGTTTTTCCATCTCTAAGGCATGACAAATAATAATAAAAGCAACAGATGGCAACAACCTGAAGATTGGAAAAGAAAAAATAAAATAAATGCTTGCATAAACTGATCGATACCTGTCTGTAAGTTTTCTGTTTATAGAGATTGCGGCCCTTTACAAGCAAAGGAGAAAGTGGAGGTAATTTCCTAGCCCCACTACTCCACAACACCTCAACCTGCAAGACATGTATGAAGAATTTAACTTAGCAATGGGTCATCACAATTGAAGCAAGAGTTATTGAAGTGTGAACAGTTCCTTATTTGATAAGGTGCTGCATAATATATTAATCTGCAGAATCTGGCATACGACATCTCTACCACACGAAATGCAAGTTGCAACTATGAAACCGAATGTGCTACGATTGTTTTCTGAATCTGCTTCATTAGGGGAGGGTTATTCTTAAGAGAGAAAAAAGTGATCATTGACCTAGAAAATAAATGTGCCAACCAAAACACCAGCCTAGAGAACAGTGACATACTTCACCAGCCAATAGAGCAATTGCACTCTGCATCTTACAAGAGCACGTATCATCCCCAAATAATTCTTATTCAAATAGAAGACCAAATGAGTAATACGAGGCACTTTTTTTGTTGAATAAAACCTATTATCAGTACAATATAAGCTTACAGTGAAGGTATGTTGCTGTTTCGCTGCACCATAGCTTTCCTTTACAACCCTTCCAGCAACAGTTCTGTTTCCTATAACTCTTCCATGTCTAGTCATTTTGCTAAACCTGGTGAAATATACAATTGTCTAAAAACTATTTGGGATAGAATGAAAATTGTTCATTAGACATGATGAGAAACAAATTACTTTTCATAAACCTTTTGCCTAAACAGAACCACATCTCCCGTGCAGACATCACCTGAGAAAAGTGAGAAGGATACTATTCATCTAAAGAATGATAAGAGTAAGGCAGATGAAAGAAAAAAATATAATAACTCACCTGTACAATTAATGTTGAAGGATGATCTTGGATACAATGTGTACCCACTTCCGTCTCTTAACCTGAGATATTGAACTAGTACTAACTTAGTAAGACAGTATAAAGACGATAAGTGCAATAGCACAAAAACAAACTAACAAGTCCTATCTTCTCAAAAATAAAATCATTACCTTATCTTGTGTTCAAATAAATTGAAGTGAAGTCAATAATAACCAAAAATTTAATAAAAACTATTTTTAAAAAATGAAGATATCTAAATGTCATCTTGATTTTTGCTGATTCACAATAACTTTCCAGTGTTTGCTTCTTAGCACAAAAAGTTACACCATGCAACACCGACACTTTATATTGAAGTCGTGTAAGAGCATCTCAAACTCGTACAACACTCATTTGACATGCCTCAGACACTAAATTCTATTTTCAGAATCTAAAATATCTATATTCAACTCCCACATCAACATTTTGAGAACATGGCCCCAACACCTAGCTGGCACTTTCATTCCGACTACTAGACATGAAAAGGAACACAGTTGGCACAAAAATTATTATTTTTGATTACTCATAATCATTCAAAAGTTTTGAATGATGAGTAACAGTAAAGCGGTTGGACAGGACAACATACTTATCAAAGAGTGAAATTTTTTTGAAATAGAGTTATTGAGTGGCTCACTAAACTTTTCAACGAAATTATGAGATCAAAGCAAATGTTGGATGAATGGAGAAGAATCACTTTAGTTTTAATCTATAAGAACAAGGGAAATATACAAAATTACGCAAATTATAGGGAGATTAAACTTATGAGTCATACCATGAAATTATGGAAAAGATTGGTTGAAAGGAGACTAAGAAAAGAGACTCGAGTTACTGATAATCAATTTGATTTTATGCCAAGGAGGTCAACCATGGAAGCAACATATCTACTACGACGTGTGATGCAGCAGTGTCAGATAGAGCAACAAGAATTCCACTTAATCTTCATTGACTTTGAGAAGGCATGTGATAAAGTGCCTAGAGAGATTTTGTGAAAAAACCCTAGAGAAGAAAGGGATTATGATTATCTATATTCGAGTTATCCAAAATATGTATAAGGGGTATCAACTAATGTTCGGATACAAAGTGGAGAGACAAGCGATTTATCCATTACAATAGGGATAACCACCTCTGAATATATTAAGCTAGGGATAACCACATATGTATATGTATTATTCTACTATGCCAAGAACATTTAGCATAAAACTACAAAGCCTAGAATCACATTAAATCCGTGATTAAATAATCAACTTTTCTATACCAAGGTTGTTAAATCTTTACTAACCACTATCTATTACAGTAGCAGAAAGAAAACATAACGTCAAGTGTAATAGCTCAAAATCAAACTAACAAGTCCTATCTTTTCAAATAAATTGAAGTAAAGTCATCAACAACCAAAAAATTAATAAAATTTATTCTTAAAGAATGAAGATATCTAAATGTCATCATGAACTTTGCCGATTCACAATTGCTTTCCTTGTCCCAGTGTTTGCTTCTTAACACAAAAGTTTACACCATGTAGCACCGACACTTCATATTGAAAATGTGTCATTGTCTCACACTCATACAACATTCATTTGACATGCTTCAGACACTAGACACTCGTACACCATTCATTTGACATGCTTCAGACACTAAATTCTAGTGTCAGAATCTAAAATATCTATATTCAACTCCCACATCAACATTTTGTAAACATGGCCACGTTCTTTTCGACTACTAGACATGAAAACGAACATAGCTCACAGCAAAATTATTATTTTTGAATGATGATGAGTAACAAAAAGGCGGCTGGACTAGACAACATATCTATTGAAATGTGATTTTTTTTTTGAAAGATAGAGGTATTAAATGTCTCACCAAACTCTTTAACGAAATTAAGAGGTCAAAGTAAATTTTGGATGAACGGAGAAGAATCATTTTAGTTACAATCTATTGAACGCAAAAAATATACTAAATTGTACAAATTATAAGAGGATTAAGCTTATGAGTCATACCATGAAACTATAAGAAAGAGTGATTGAAAGGAGACTAAGAAAAAAGACTAAAGTTACTGTTAATCAATTTGATTTTATGCTTGTAAGACCAATCATGGAAGCGATATATCTACTACGACGTATGATGGAACAATATTGGATAAACCAACAAGAACTGCACTTAATTTTCATTTACTTGGAGAAGGCGTGTGATAGAGTGTCCAGAGAGATTTTGCAGAAAGCTCTAGAGAAGAAAGAGGCTAGAATTGCCTATATTCAAGTTATCTAAGATATGTATGTGGGGGTATCGACTAGTGTGTTGATAGATGGTGAAGAGATGGATGATTTCCCTATTACAAGATTCAACCCTAAACCTTTACCTTTTTACTTTAATTTTGGAGGTATTAATGGAACACATCCAAGAGTTAGCACCGCTTGTATGCTTTTTGTAAATGATAGTCTTACTTGGAGAGCCGCAGGAGGCTTTAAATGAGAAGTTAAAGACTTAGAGAGGAGACTTACAAACATATGGCTTTCGCCTAAGCAGGTGTAAGACGGAGTATATGGAATGTAAATTTAACAAAAGAAGAAGCGTTTTAACCTAGAGATGAAAGTTGGAGATCATTCTATACCACAGGTGACACGGTTGAAATATTTTGGGTTCGTTATACAAAACAACGGGGAATTAGAAGGGGGTGTAAACCATCGAATTCAAGTTGGAAGATTGAAATGGAAGAGAACCTTAGGAGATGTATGTGATACAAAAGTACCACTTAAGCTAAAGGGAGAAATTTATCGGATAACAGTAAGATCTGCAATGTTGTACGAAAAAGAATGTGGGTAGTTAAAAATCAACACAATAATAAAGTAAAGGGGGCATATATGTGGGTATTGCATTGGATGTGTGGTAAGACTAGACGGGATTAGATTAGAAATGACAATATTAGAGAGGGAGTTGGGATAACACCTACAGTAAAAAAGATGTGGTGAAAAATAGACTTAGTTGGTTTGAATATGTAGAAAGAAGACATGTTGATTAACTATAAGAGAAACTATTAAAAAACATCTTGTGATTAACAAATTGGATACAATGATGATTTTGATAGAACATTATGACGTAATTGGATCCATATAACCGACTCTACTTAGTGGGATAAGGCTTAATTATTGTTGTTGTCGATGATGATCAACTAGGGGTGAAAAGCCTTACTGGTTCAATCTTTTTAGCTTTTTCGTAGTAGATAGTGAATTGAAGGTGAAAGACGTCGTTCAATAGCTTTATCCTCTTGTCTTAGAATTCTTTCCATAAAGAAACAAAATGTTCAAACGGTAGTGATGCCTCAGTATTTCCTGTGAGGCCCATCTTCATAGGGAAAATGCAATACTTAACAAGTTATTTGGATATGATAACAACGATGAATATATAAATCTTAGATTCTCAATTTATATCTATTTATAATTGAAAGCTCGTGTTTAATGCTATTTATCTTTCTACCCACCTCTGAATATATTAAGCTAGATATAACCATCATATGCATATGTATTATTCAACTATGCCAACAAGATTTGGCATAAAACTACTAAGCCTAAAAATATGATTGAAGTGAAAGTAAATTGAAATAGTTACCTCCAATGTTCTTTAATCCTGGCAATAGAAACTGCTCTATTTCCCGCAAGCCTCAAGCCATGTTTCCGTAAATAAGCTTTGCATTCGTTTAATTTCAGCGAGTCTATATCCTTTCCATCTGAAAAACCGAATACTGAATTCAATAAACTCGATCGATAAACCATTGATAAATTTCAATTCATTTGGTAGAAATAAAAACCTTGAAGGAGAGAAACAACTTTTTCGGAGAGGGATTCGTCATCAACATCACAATCATCCGATCCGGGAGATTCGTCACGATCTTCTTCTTCTTCGTTGCCATCGTCGTCGTCAATATCAGTGTCATCTGATTCAGACGGTTCATCGGAATCGCTGAACTGTTGTTCGGAATCGTCATCGGAGTTTTCTTCTTCAGAGGAAGAGGAGAGAATAATCGTCTCTCTTTTTCCTGTTTTCTCATCCATTGAGTTCGACGCCACAGTAATTATTTGTGTAGAAATATTTGAAATTGAAATCAAAGAATCGTACAGCGGCGCGGAACCTGGCCTTATTTCATCCTTTTTCTTCTTTCTTTTTTTGTGTTTGAGGAAGTTTTAAATTTTTTTTTTTAATAATCATTTAAAAAAAAAAATAATAATCACTTTGAAAAAAATTTAAAATTTGGTTTGTTATAGATTATAAAAAAGTGATTTTGATGTTAAATAATTTCAAAATTCATTTTTTTTAAATAAATACTATTTTGTGTTTATTTGTCAGGGGAAAAAATCATTTTTTATAATACCTAGCAAAATAAAAAGCCTCCTCAATAAGCTTTTGTTTTCTTTAATATCGTTATTTTTAAAGATTTTTAAATATACTAGTCGATAACACGTGCTGTCGCACGGGGCCGGTCGAAAATTCATAAAACGTGGAACTAATGTTGTCATGTAACAGTAAATTCGTTTTTATGTAATTCAATAAAAGTTCATCTAATTCGGCCAAATTCAGTGTATCAAACTTATTTGACAACATTAAAAAATGTAAACTGAAATCATGATTGTGTAACAAAATAAGAAACTGTGATGACTCTTCAAAATAAGAAACTATCACGAGTCTTCAGATACAACGCAACCAGCTTGGAAACGATGTTTTCAACTTTTTGACCCGCACAATAAATTATGCAAAAATTAGACAGCATTTACGGAAACAATTTATATTAAAGAAAATATTTGTTATTATGTACTTATCGATCAACAAAGAGATTGGAAAACTTCTTTGTATACAACATTTGTAGTGATAGATGTTGATACATTCATACTATCATGTATTAAGATCTTCAGACCACTTTTGCTTGTAACTCTTGAAATGGCTACATACAACTGGCCATGACTGAATACAGGAGTAGGCAAATACAATCCAACTGTATCAAGTGATTCGCCTTGAGACTTATTAATTGTCATTGCGTACGACACAATAATTGGGAACTGTCTCCTAATCAACTTAAATGGCCACGGTGACTCGGAAGGTGACATAGACATTCGAGGGATGTAAAAGATGTTACCAACATTCTTACCAGACATTATCAGCATCAATGTTAACAAACAAAATGAAACACCTACCTCAGATCAGTTAATGAAAACACAACCTTGCTTTTGTTGTTATCAGGAATTATCTGGGCTTGGGATATTTCAGTAACCCCACCAATTATATCTGCACAAAAGTTCACCACAGACAGTTATGTATAACGGAGAAGTCACAATACAATGCGTTCTATTATAACAGTAAAAATGTAACTCACCATATAACAAATTCGTTATGTATTTACCCTCAATAATAGCATTTATTCCAATTAACTTGAGGTGGTTCAGAGGTATGTCAGCAAGTTGGACCTTTTTGACGGAAGTTGAACCACAGAAAATCAATTTTAACTTATGATCAGTGGATTTGAAGGAGAAATCATTGCTGGAAACTTTGAAATTCTGCATTATGTAGGAACAACCAAGTTCAAGCTGTGTTTTGAATTTTGATATCAAATAAGATGGCACAATGGCTTGAATCAAATCCAACTGTGAAAATACAAACATCTTGAAATCAGTATCATATACCAGTACTGTTACAACAAAATCAGAATGGCAAAGCAGAAACATTTAGATTGTATTATACCTTTGAATCAAACAGAATAAGCTCTAAGTGCTCTCTATTCTGAGAACTGGTAACAGACCACAGATGCTTACATCTAACAGCAACCTTCCACAAATCCTTCGAATCGTCAATGCTACTGATATACTCGATTGGGCGCGCCATCGTCACGCAGCGATTCGTAACAGTGCAGAGAGCCTTGCGTGAATGAAAACGAAAGGGACGTCTGTAGCAATGGCTTGCGTGAATGAAAACGACTGGAAGGTGTTAAGCAATGGAGGTTATACATGAGTACACATTAGGGAAGGATTGAAGGAAGAGTGAAAAACTTTTGGTGTTCCATTTGAATTTGAATTTTGATTAAGAGAGGCATAATGGTTTGGCATGGGGAAGAGGAAGAGAGGCACAATTAATGGCAAGGAATAATGAATTGGTATTCCCCATGGTTGTGTTTCTCACAATATGTGGGATTTATTTGGAAAAAAAAATTGAAAATGTGGTGAAAAATTGTGGGAGTGCCACATCAGATTCAAATCAATGTGGTGCAAGATATTTTGGAGTTTCCAATTTTACCCCAATACAATAGACCAACAATGGATTTTTTCAGCTGTGGTGTTGTGGTAATTTCCAAGGACTATCATTTTTATAGATAGATAATAGATTTATTTGATATGATATAAAATATATTTAGAAGTTTATAAATTTGACATAAAATATTTAATTATAAAATAAATAATTATTATAAAATTCAATTATATTAAATAATTATATAAAATAAAAAGAAAAGAAAAAAAGAACCAATGAGATAGGAAAGAAAAAATTTAAAATTTGAAAATAAAGATTTTATTTTTCAAATAAAAATTATTATTGATTAAAATAAAATAGACATTGTGTTGAAATTGACTCGTAAGATTAAATATTTTATTATTGTATTCATGTACTAATTTTGTGTGTAGGTAGTTTAATCAATTAAATAGTAATTATTTGATAATAGATACTCATAAAAACTCAATGTATTAAAATAAAATAATTTTTAAAAAAAACATGTGAATTGGAGAAAATAAAATAAAATTTTAACAAGTGCAAATATAAAATTTTAAAAATAAATACAAAATATGAAATAATTTACTTAATTGTTAATTGAACAATAATCCTATAGATTTAATGTATTAAATAATCTTTAAAAATAAAATACTTTCCAACTACAAGACAAGTTTAGCAGCAGTTTATTTCAATATTTAAGTACATGCTCAAACCAAATATTAATTATTATTTTTGCCATGTGTGTCACCTAAAGAGCATAAACGTCAAGCTATTTATAACATAAAATAAAAGCTTTGGAAAACGAAAATGATATTGTAGTACTGTAACTGAAAATGAGATTCAACCACCATCATCCATCCTCTACATGAAATAAAGTCATATAAAAAGTGATTCGGCCATCTTAACTCAGATAAACACGGAATTTGTAACTGTCACAAATGAATTGTTGGTAAGAGAATTTCTTAGAGACAAATATCATTAGAAGATCAATGTTTAGGGCACAATAAAGAACAGTAACAGTTATGTAATATAATGAATAAATCAAGCAAGATAATTATGCAAATATATGCTGCGCAAAACATCTCATAGTATATTTTTACTGTGCAATAATGCCTGTCTTTTAGCATCGTAGACAACATTGAATAATCTCTCTTTTAGACCACTAGATGTTTTAACAGCATTAATAATAATGCAGACAAAAAAAAAACCAAATAGCACAATGAATAAACAAAGGCAAAAGAACATTTCTAAAAGTTGCAGCACAAATATATGATTGTTCTACCCATCATATATTCTGTTATATAGACGCGGAACACTGCAGAAGATAGTAGGTCTTAGAACTGCAAGGTCTTCTATTAATTTCAGATTATCCTATATGCAAAGGGTAGGAAGAAAATGTCAGTTTATAGTGAAGCAAAATCTAGTGACAAAATCAACCCCACTGCATCATACTTAATCCAATATGATTTATAAGCAAAAGTTAACTACACCACGTATATTAAGGATTAATCACATAATCTCATTTAAAAAATCAATTCCATTACAAGAATTACCCTTCAAGATAGTAATAATAAATCAGTTCATTGAAAAAAGTTAAATTAAATCAGAGACATTTTTTAGATATATCATTAAATAGGCCAAAAGGTGTAATTTTCCTTATATTTTATTCCAAAATATATTTTGCTATATTTTTCATATAAATCATTCTGCAGGAAGTATAAGTCATAAGATAGTACCTTATGGCTTCGCAAGTCAACATAAAAAAAGATAGCTATCATTTAAAAATTTTAGGTAGGAGATATCTATAGTACCTTATAGAGAAGCTTAATTTGTTTTCCCAATCAGCATCATCCTGCATTATAATAAGCATCATCCTGGGAAAAAAGGAAGAAAAAAAAATTAACTACGTTATAATATCAGTTTTTGAGCATCAAAGTCAATTAAACAACCTAATATCACATTAAAAATAAACTAATTAACAATTGACAATGCATCAATTCATTAATGCATCGAAACCTAGAAAAAGCTAAAAATGAGATTTGTGAAACTGGGAACTACATAGCGAATGAAAAAGAGAGTACCTCAAAATTTGAAAGCATGACGAGATAGTTGGCTGTGAAACAGGTCATTATTTGTACCTCAATAGTTGGCATTCAGCTTAATTAGTTCATTGTCAACATCAAGTATCCTGATGTTGATGAAAATCCACAGCAGAATTGTATCAAACACATGGTGTGCATATATAAAATTGAAAAATAGGCATATATAACATGAAACTAAAAGCAAGAAAAGTTGAAACCTTATGCAAGAAAGAAGCAATGGAAATCAAAACCTGAAAAACCAAAACATTGTCATTGTTCTTGTTCACCGCCACAACAACACAAACAACAAATATTGCAAAAGAAAATGAGAAAGTGTTCCTTTAATTTGTTAACTACGTTAATGTCCAACTTGCAGTGCAAAAATTTTTAATTGAAAGGGCAAATTAGTCAGAATGGTCAATTGCTTAGTATTAGCTTTATTAAGAAGTTGTCTAGGCCCATTAGAGAGAAGAAGAAAGCAAGAAGAAATCAATTCTCTTAAAAGACTTTATTTTAAACTAATTAAGAGTTAGTATGTTGTTTTGCTGTAAGTGGCCCATGGCCCATTTAACTTTTTAAAACCCTAGCTATATATATTCTTATAAGTGCTATTTTGAAGGATAGGAAGAAAATTTGTTTTTATCATTTTTATCTCTTATGCGAGATAGATCTAAAATTTAGCTTAGGTTAGTCTATCATAATTTGTTTACTTTTATTGAGAAGTCCTAAAATTCTAGATTGGTAAAAGATAGAATTTAAAAAGAATTTATATAGAGTGGGTATCCAAGGTTGAATTTCATCAAACCCACGTCCCATGTACTCTAATATTTAAAACTAAGAATTTGACCTTAATTCATAATCTTATCGTTTTTGTTTCACAAGTAAATCGATTCCAAAAGTTATTTGGTTTAAAACTAACAATTTAACATCAAATATACCTTAACCTTAATAATCTTTTCTTTTGTTTCACCGGATAAACTATTTGTCAGGACTTGCTGCATTTTAGGAAGGGTGGGTGGACTGTTTAAAACATATGCATGGATCATCAAAAACTTGCGTGATCAGTGTTAGAATAAATAAGGGGAAATTGAGAGGGACACATTAGCTTAAAATTTGAGTGTAAATTGACTATTTTGACGTTAAGGAAGATGCAAATTCTCAAAGTTCTGCAATATCATGTAATTCAAAAAAAAAAAAATTTCATTTTGCTTTTCTATATCAGTTGGATTCTATCATATTCGTACAAATTTACTGCAAATTCTCATTAGCGAATGTGTAATCCAAAAGCCAAAATCTACAATGACGCTAAAAGACCAAAATAGCTCCCAAAGAAACCTCTTTCATTCAGCTCTGGATGCAAGTCAATTAATTTACACGTGGACAAGAATGCCATTTCTCAATCTGAATCACAGAATATGTTACAATATAAGTGTACCCTTTTCTAATAACAATCAAACATATTCTCATCTTTGACTTTCACACTATAACTTTACAGTGGAAAATATAAACTCCTATTGCAAGGTTTAATCAAACTCACTCAAATGGTAAAGAGAATAATTCATGCCTTGTATTGTATTGAACTTCCAAAGTCTCTATTGAGACTTTGCAAGACTTCTTGATGGGCCGTGCAACAATTTCACAAATCCAATGAAGCTTAATTTCCCATCAGTGTGACGAATCCAATCATGAAGAACAGCATGTACCGGTATAGATGGACCAAGCCCGAGTTCCTGATTATTTTAGTTAATAAAACTACTCATGAGAAATGTATATATCATCATTTATATAATAATACTTATAATATTAATAGTAATAATAATAATAATAATAATAATAATAATAATAATAATAATAATAATAATAATAATAATAATAATAATAATAATAATAATAATAATAATAGTAATAATCAACATGATAGTATTATTAAAATGTTGATTTTCAGCATGTATAACCTATAATCATAATCAAATCAAGCATACCGAAGCTAATTCGTCAATGACTATGGCCTTGTTTCCATCCTTTTCAAATAGGTCAAAGGCACATCGTGCACGCTTCTCCCAGTGGTCAAGTGCTTCAAGTTGATGAACACTAAGCGTAGCTGCGCAGAACTCATCAAAATCCATCCTCCTATATTGCAATGCATTAAGCTGCAACCCATATCATTTATATCAATAGCCATTTTGGCCACAACATTTCATTGGAATAATTTAGAGAAGTTCTCAGCACTTACTGATGCCAGAAAGTCGGCAATGCGTGACTCCTTCATAGCATCTGTTGCATTTACCGTAAAGGCCTGACCAGCTCAAAATTGTGAGATGACAAACACCCTCTTCTTAATAGCACGCAGAAAAAAGAATACAAAATAAAAAACCAACCGTTTTTATGTTTTCCAAGCTAATGGTGTTATTTTTGTTAGGCTCTAAAAGTGAAAACTGCTCCTTCAAATAAATCAGCTCATCCACAGTTAATGTCTTGGACAGAGCCTGTCCCAATTCCCATGTAAATAACACTTTTAATAAGTTATTGAGAAGCACAAAATGTATTATAAACCCAAAGGAGAAAGGCAAAAAGAACAAACAAAATAACAGAATCACTCTCGTCTAACAGTTTGAAAAGAAACAATGTATAGGTAAAACATTTTTCCACGACTTAAAAACTTCAGATTTCCAAAAATCATTTCATCTTTACAAAGAAAAAAAAAACTCGAGTCCGCCAAGTTGGAAAAAACTCTGAAAATTTCAGCAGGAGATATTTGGACAAAAATTAACCTAGTTACAATTGGTTCAACAGAAGCTCATTGTGGATCAAAATCAGGTTTATAAAATCAGGGAAATTTTATATAAAGAGACGCACCCTTAAAGCAGCTTTTCGTAGAGAAGAAGAACGCATGTATGCCTTCATGAGCTTGAATATTAAAATATCCAAAGGTACTTTCGTATCCTCATAGTGTTTTATCCATGGATGACCTGCAGTACACAATTGTGAGTAACAAATTAGAAAAATAAGAATGAGAGCCTGAAATGATAGCTAAGTTGAGAAACTCACTTAATGCCTGTGCTGCACTCATTCTTTTCCGTGGATCTTTATTAAGTAATCTCTTAACAAAATCTCTTGCCTCATTTGATAGAGAAGGCCAGGGAGGTTCGTCAAAACTTGGATCCGCTTTCAACACAGTACGAAAGATACCAGACTCAGTCCGAGCCCAAAATGGACGGCTGCCACATAACAAAATATATGCAATCACTCCAATGCTCCAGACATCAGCCTCAGTACTATAAGCTCTATGAAGAACTTCAGGAGCCACATAGTATGCACTACCCACAATATCATTCAGCCTTTCATCTGCAAAGCATAATGAGAAGTCAAAAACAAAGCATGTCTAAGATAACAAATGGCATGCAATATATGTAAAAGATATCCAAGCATACCTAGTTTAACAAAATCCGACAGCCCAAAATCTATGGCCTTTAATTCTGAGTTTTCGTCCTTGGATGCAAACAAGAAGTTCTAATCCAAAAATTAGCCATATTTAGAACTTTAAAGTTAAGAGACAAGTCCCACAGGCCACATAGCAAACCAAACAAAACCATAACCTTCATATAGCCATATTCTACTCCACCCCTCAAGGATAAAGAATATTCACACAAAAGGAAAAACTCTTTTCTAAATGCAAAAGATACTTCAACTTGTACATCTCAGTGCGTAATTACTTAAGCTGAACAGCTCAGCTCAGCATTGTGATGTCCAAATTAAAAAGTACTAGTAATATAGAAAACTGCAAATATATTTCACCTCCGGTTTAAGATCACGATGCACAACACCCTGTAGATGGCAAAATGCAGCAGCATTCAGTATTTGTCTAAGGATGGCTTTTGCATCTTCCTCTGTGTATTTGCCACCTCTGATAGAGCACAGAACTAACTTATAGCCGTCAAAAACAATATATTGCCTCATTCAAACACTTCCATTCATCAACAACTTAAATTTTAAACATTCAGAAGATTGTATATCTAACAACTAAATAAATAAACAAATACCTTGATAATATTCTGTCCAACAACTCTCCACCTTCACACAATCTGGGAGAGGTACAAGAGTTTAGGAAAGATTAATTATTTGTAAAAGATACATTACAATTAAATTGTCCTTAATTATCCAAAAAGATAGGACAAAATATATATTGGTATTGCAAATCAAATCAATTTGCCACAAAAGATTAACTACAGCATTCAACTCAAATGAGAAACATAATAAAAGCTTACTCCATTACTATATACACGTTATCATGATCTTCATAAGCATCATGGAATCGAACTAGATTTTTATGTCCATTCAAAGCTTTCAATATTTTCACTTCCCTTCTCACATCCTCAATAGCAATAGCAGATGTCATCTACAATTAAAACATAAAAATCAAAACAAAACGACTCTATTTGGATAAATAACTTAAGCATAAGCACTTATCATATAAGTGCTTATGTATATTGTGAAAACCTTGGCTTTAGGAATGACTTTAACAGCAACTTGTTGACCTTTAAGATCTCCTTTCTTCAACTTAGCAGCACAGGTATAACCAAAATGTCCTCTCCCAACCTCATCTCCAACATCATACTTACTTCCAAAATGCTTGCAGAATCCGAAATTCTTATCAAGCGAAACCACCGCCTCCTCCTCACCCCCTTCCGGTATCGAAGCTTCATTAGGCTTCACCGAGCCATGCCGCCGGGCAAGAAGCGACTTTATATGCTTCGCCGGAGACGGCGGCCGCTTGAAAAATTTCCTGGCCGGAGACATCTTAGAGAAGAACTGATGAGCAGGACTCGGAGTGTAGAACGGGAAAAACGGAGATCTCTTAACGTTTTCAGTTTCGTTAGGGTTTTCGCCATTGACGGAGTTTGTTTGAGGTTTGGGAGTGACGTTAACTGTGACGGAGTTAGTTTCGTTGTGAGAGGAGTGAGTGGGTTTTGAAGTGCAGAGACCCATTGAATTGAAATTTTGTTAGTTAAACTGAAAGCATTGCATGTAATTGTGAATTTGTAATGTAATGTGTTAGAAGTGAAATGAAGAAAATGAATCGAACTGTTGGAAAATGAAGTTGGTTAGGTTCGTTGATCACGGAGAGTGTGTGCTTATGAAAATGGTGGGGACTCAGAAGGTGATGAGTCAATGAAGAAAATAACAGTGAAAAAGTAAACAAACAACACAAACGACGACGAATGTGTCGGCTTTCTTTGCAAGTAATCTTTCGGTGATTTTTTTAAATAATTGGGATGATGAAATTCGATTTCCCTGATTTATTATAAAATAAATAGTAGAAAATTTGTAATGCGTTTATTAAACTTGATTATTATTAAATATAAGCACAATCATTTTTAAAAAAAAGTCATGTAATAAAAAGATTGAGGAAAATACTTACATCAACACAAATATAACAAAAAAATTTAAAAACAATTAGTCATAATTTTTTATTAATTATAAGATAAAATAATTTTTTCTCTCTTCTTCCTTATCATTACTACTTCCATGATCTCAATTAAAAAATAAATTTAAATTTTTTTTTATTTTTATTGGTTGTTCCTAAAAATATGATTTATATATATATATATATATATATATATATATATATATATATATATATATATATATATATGTACAAGTTTTTCTCGAAGAGTGATTAACTTGCTCTTTTACCATGTTATGTCGTTTAAATCAATATATATAATTTTTAAAAGATCGATTTTGCCATCATTTTAAATAAATAAAAAGTCAAATTCTAATGAGTTAAAGGTTGTTAATATTTTGTTAAGAGTTAGTTAGAGAGAATATAGGTTAATTATTTTGTTAGGATATCAGAGAAATTTTATATAAAAAAAGTGTCATGTTGTTCATTTAACTTTCAAAATAGCACCATATTTGTCCTTCCGTCTATGACAGTTAGTCAAAGCTAGTAAATATATTTTAGGTGTCATTTTTCGTGGTGACGTGGATATAACAAATAATATATGATGAAAAGTGTATTGTCTTGTTCATAAATCCAAAAAACTCTCATAAAAAAACCCTAAAATGTTTGTTGTTGTGATGGCGAATCGAAGGGAGAAATCGAAGTGAAATCAAAGATTGAACACATTATTTAAGGCACATAGGCTGACTTTATAAAAGAAGTGATAGATTGAAGACGCATTTATCAAAAGGTTAGTAATTTTCTATCTATTTTAGGTAAAATGTTTTAGGGCAAATCTTTGTTCTGTAAACGTTTTAGTTATGTAAATGTTTTAAGGCAAATATTTGTTCTGTTTTAGGGAAAATTTTAGGGGATTGTGTTTGTGTTCTGTAATTTTAGATTTTATGAATGTGTTAGGGTAATGTGTGTTTTTGTTCAGTTTTAGGGCTTACAAATATGTTTGGGTAATGTGTGTTTTTGTTATGTAAATGATTTAGTGCAGACTCTAATTACGAAAGTGATATGAATAGGTATAATAGATGAATACTTAAAACTCAGAATTCATCACAGTGGTGAATTCATTGGTGAAGGACTAAGTACGTATGAAGGAGGACTAGTAGATGATTTGAAAGTAGATGTTGACAGATGGAGCTATTTTGAGTTAGTTGGTGTATTAAAGGAGTTAGGTTATAGGGACTTTAAGACAATATATTACAAAGACCCTAGATTTGGGATGAATGCACTTGTTGATGACAAAGGTGCTTTAGAAATTGCATATCTTTATAGAGTACGCCAAAGTGTTGATATCTATATTCAACGCACATTGTCTCAACCTGACTATTGTGATGGTGTTGTTGATAATGTTGATGAGGGGTCTGATGAGATTGTACTTGATGTGGAAGATTTGTTTAATAAATTACATGATGACATTGTAGATAAGTTGAATAATGCTAATGTTGAAGTTTCAGGTGAAGGTAATGTTGGATTGAAGGAATGTAATGTTGGAGTAGAACAAGTCACTGTTGTGTTGGAGGAAGGTAATGCTGTAGTAGGATAAGCCACTATTAGGTTGCAGAAAAGTAATATTGTGTAAGAATAAGAAGTGTTTCTACATCTGGCCTTGAGATTTTGATGATAACTTTACATGTTATCTTAGAGAACAATTGTATACACTAATGGTTTGGTTCTAGTGTGTAGCTGCTGCTATAATATTTTGACTCTGGTACAAGGCGTGTGACGTCATCAGGTTCCGAATATACACGACTAGAAGAAAACATGTGGTTACATGTTACAGATTAAAGTCAGGGTTCTGAATCTATCTTCTGTAACGTGTCTAAGGAACGTTAGTACAAGAGGTCATGATCGTGACTTTGTGGTTAATACTTGGAGGCCTTCTAAAGCTTTGCTTCTATGTGTTACAAGTTCTAAAGATTATGAAGATGAGGTTCTGCTGAACAAGTTCTGATGATCTAAAGAAAAGCAAGTTCTTACAACCAAGTTCTGAAGACTCTAAAGACATGGTTATGTGTGACAGGTTATGAAGACTCCAAGAATTAGGTTCTAAGGTTTAATAAATATTCTTCTACAACAAGTTTCAATGTTCAACATTCAAATATCTGAATCCACTGAAGATAAGAAGAAAAGTTCAAAATGGTTAACGTGTGATAGTGTATAAAAGGTATATAAAGTGTTTGTGACCTCTACTCTTCTAGAGTGTCACAAGGACAATCCTTTTGTATTTGATTGTGACTACTCTCATTATAATTGAGAACCAACAACTAGATTTCCGATTTACCTTTCTACCCTTTCAAAGGATCTCTTTTACAAGCTATAAAAGGAAGACTTGAAAGTTGAAGAAAAGTAAGAAACAACACTATAACGACAAATCTATCGGTTCAAATCAAGCTCAATAAAACTACACCAAAGCGCTGTGCAAACTCTGTAGAGAAATCATTTGTGTATAGTTTTGTAAATAAGCAAGGAGTTGTTGCTCGTATCTTGCAGTAGAACACTTAGATGTTTTTCATTGTACTGAAAAGTCTGTGTAATCTGATTACAAGAAGCAAATTTGTAATACACTGAAAGTACTCAACTATTGTTGAATGATACCTTAAGAGACTGAGTGAAGGTATGGTCTCAAGAAGACTCCTGTTGCGGCTTGAATGGATATACAATAAGGATCGACAAACTTTTTGGGGGTGCCAATAAGGTTGATCAAACTTATTGTGTGTTATTTTGTAATTAGTTTGGTTAAAGTGGATTAAGTCCTTGTTGAAGATGAAATCATCCTTGAGGGATGGACTAGAGTAGCTTAGTTAACAACAAACTAGGATAAAAATCATTGTGTTCATTTACTGTTATGTCCTAAGCTAACTTGTTTTGTCACCAACGAAAAGATTTAATTTGGTGAAACCCAATTCAAACCCCTTTCTCGTGTTTCTCACATGTTCAATTGGCATTAGAGTTCCAGTTCTGGTATTGATAATTATCAAACACTTAACCATGTCAGATAAAGATCCGGACGAGTTTTTCATTGAAGAAACACAATGGTTAAATCCACACCAACTGTTTCTACAATAGATTCAAACGATAAAAGTTACCATGTTAAACCTCTCATCTTTGATGGAGAAAAGTTTGAATACTTGAAAGATAGAATAGATAGTTTCTTTATAGGTCATGATGTTGATCTTTGGGATATGGTAGTCGATGTCTACATACCTTCACAAATGCTACTAGAAAAGAGATAGCTAGGAGAGCTATGACTGATCAACAAAAGAAAGATTGTAAGAATCATCATAAAGCAAGAACCATCTTGTTGAATGTGATTTCTTATACTGAGTATGTGAAGATCACAAATAGAGATTTGTTAAGTCTATATTTGACTCTCTCAAAATGACTCATGAAGGAAATGATCAAGTCAAAGAAACTAAGGTGCTGGCCTTGATTCAGAAATATGAAGCTTTCAAAATGGAAGATGATGAAAGTGTTGAAGTCATGTTCTCAAGATTCCAAACCTTAGTTGCAAGACTAAAAGTTATAAAAGGTTACTCAACGGTAGATCATGTAAAGAATATTATCATAAGCTTGCCATCCAAATGGATGCCTATAGTAACTGCACTTAAGCTTGCAAAGGATCTAAACAACACTTCACTAGAAGAACTAATAATTTCTTTAAGAAGTCATGAGATCGAGCTAGATCAAGATGAACCACAAAAGATGACAAAATCTATTATGCTCAAGCCCATTAAGAAATCTGAGAAGTCCAAAGCTCTTCAAGCAGATGAAATAGAGGATTCAGAAGAAGATATTGATGATGAAGAAGATGAGTTATCTCTACTAACCAGGAGGGTTAACCGTCTCTAGAATAGAAATCAAGGCAACATGTTTAGAAGTTCAAGAAGGACTGGAGATCAATTCGAATCAACTTTTGATCAAAGAAAGTCTGGTGGTATCAAAGTCACTTGTTATGAGTGCAATGAGCCAGGACACTACAAATTGGAGTGCCCTAAGCTCCTGAAGAACAAAATCAAGAGGAGAGATATCAAAGGTGAAAAGAAAATGAAAACAAGGGATGACTCAGACTCAGAAGAAAAACATGTGTTTGTAGTACTGATGGCTCATGTTGGAACATTCAATGAAGAAATTTGTTTAGAAGATGAAGTTGATTCAGAAGCAGAAGAATTTGTCGGCAAAGAGACATCCTTAACTGCTCATCTAAAACACCAATCTTGGTACCTGGACTTTGGATGCTCGCGACACATGACAGGAAAAAGGCACATGTTCATAAGTTTGGATCTTAAGCATGGAGACGTCGTAGGTTTCGGAGGAGATCAGAAAGGAAGGATCATAGGCTCAGGTACAATAGGTAATGATTATCTCCATCTATAACTAATGTTTTACTTGTTGAAGGATTAAAGTACAATCTATTATTTATAAGTCAACTAAGTGACAATGGGTATGATATAATCTTTAATCAAGATTCTTGTAAAGATGTGAGTCAAAAAGATGGCATTGTCCTTTTCAATGGAAAGAGAAGAAACAA